TTTCAAGTAAACTTTTTCGATATTCGAACAAATAAGCCTACTTTCAGCGATTAATTTGAAAAAATGTCACTTTTGACATGTAGCGAAAGTCACGTGACACCGATTGAGAAGGCCATTTTTTATCTTTTTTGAAGCAAAACTTAACGTCCAACTCGAATTTCAAAATAAGTCATTAATAAAAGTTTTTCCTATATGATGCCAACTTTATGAATGACACTGTATATGCTGACTGAAGACGACTGTACTTATTCAGGCTGATTCACGGTGGATCGCACATTAGGCGTTTCTGGAGAACGCAACGTAGGATCATACTGAAAATTTGGTTTCTTGGATAATTAGTTGTGTTCTATCCACCTAAAATATTCTCAACACTGCGACGTTGCCGCTTATATTGAAAAGTAGCAACATCTTTGATTTTTTGAATGGGACACCCTATATATTATTCCATTTTCAGATTCTCCCTGAAGAGCTGATTTCATCGGTCTATTACACTTGGGGTCCAGCGGGAATGATAACAAAGATATAGGGTGTAAAAAATCAAGATTTTTCAACTTCAAGAATTTCTTGTGTCGAAACTATTCATAATTAGTCAAAACGGTTTTTATGTCCCTATCTAATCTTTATCTGTATGTACAGGGTGAACAAATATGAACAGCTGTCGGCCATATCTCAGCAACGAATAATGATACAAGTTTGCGATAGAATGAATCTAATGGTATGCATATCATTACACGATGTAATAGAGAAACTAATTCTCAACAGATCAACGAAAACCGCATCATGATAACTTTTCGTCAACGGACGATATTAACTATCAAAGTTGGAAGAATAATAGATATATGACAGCCGTTTTTAGTTGTTCTCCCTGTACTTTCAAATATTTACTTGAAGCAATTCATAATTTTTTGTGTTATTTTTTCCTTCTACATGATCATTAAAATACTATTAAATGATCTGATCACACCAATATTTTAGAATGAACTACTTTCCCAAGCCCGTACCGCATGGGATAATCTTTTTTTTTATGATAATGAATAATAATTATATTATAATATAGGGTGTTCTTAATAACACGATAAATAAAAATGAAAATGTATTTTTTTTTTAATATTTTGAAGAATCATTGATACCTCCGTAGCTTCTGACCTCACCGGAGGCATACGTTTGGGTTCGGCAATTAACCTCTGGTCAATAATACACACGCGGATTCATATAGAAGTTCCATGCAAACTTAGAAGCTTGATATCTTCCGAAATATTTTTTTTCTTGCCAGAAATTCATTCCTTCATTTCGAAGACACCCGATTTTTTTAAATAGAACAAAATGGAGGCACCTATACTCATTGAGGATGAATACTATCATTATTCTGACTTCTTTGTACTGATTGCATTTGTTCAAGTCTTAGATGAAGACTCCATAATTCAACACGATTTCTCTATTTGAAAGCTATAAATATCTCCGATCAATTCTCATATTGATATGAATCAAATTGATGAGCAATAATTATTATCTAGACTATCTAGAGTATAAAATAGAAATTCTTGTTTTCCTCACCTCATTCACAAATTTGAATATATCTACTAATTTTCCGAATCGGAGGATTCTATTTTGCATAATCAATGCTACAGGTGTCACAATTTTTTCCAAAAACACAAAAACAATTAAGAGTTGTATTGTATTTTGACCATTTTTGCCCAAAATGTTTTCTTTTATAGTTCAGTTTGCAAACTCCTGGTTTTTCGAATTTAGAAGTTTTGTCTTTATTTTTGTAAAACCTTCCCAACGTGTTCTATCTTGCAGCATTAGTGAACCACAGAAGCCACTGCCACAAAGGATGAAGTAAAAACTAAAAAGGGGAAGTTCACATACTGTATGCATTATTTTTCTGACAATGGGCTTATATTACAAAAAAATTGTATTTCATAATTCGATAGAACTCACCCAAACTAGCTCACCACCGCAAACCTTTTCTTGCTGTGAGCTCCCTACGTTTTATAAAAAATTATTGAAATCCCCGATTTTTGGACCTCTGAAAACGAGGCGACGATGTGACGTCAAAACCCTAATACTGAAACAAGACTATTCCGGACAGAGACGAATGATACATGATTTCTGACAAAGTGAATTAGCGTGAGATCACAGTTGAAAGAATTAATACATCAGTTGCCTCAGTCTCCGTAGGGCTTTTGGTATTTCCTTTTTACTATGGCGAGATGAGGTTTCTACGTCATAAGAGGGTCCGTTTTCAGAAGGTACTATTATTTATGTCCAAAAATAAAACATTCCAGTTAATTTTTCGATCGAATCATGTTGTCAATCATTATTCATGTATAAAAGGATCATTATGAACTTGGTTTGAGTTAAAAGTTCTACTATAAGGTGTACACGCCCATTGGAAGAAGGCTCACAAGAGATTTTTCTCAGTGTTTTTTAATTTGAAGAACTACAATCATTAGACTTTCAACAGTTTCAACCATCTTAGCATAGGGTCCGGAAATATTGACCAATATGGTTGATATCTAAACTTTGGTTACGTCATATATTAATGGATTGATGGCGAATCAATTTTTGACTGAAATTAGCTACAGGAAATATAAATTGCCCTATGAGACATTTCCTGTGGCTTCCATCATGAATTTCTACCTCAAATTACTTCTGAAGGTTAATTTCAATATCCCATTTACATTGGATAAAGATGTGTGAAATATTTACCAATATATTTCTCTTATCTGAGAATAGAATGATAGTACATTATTTATGAGTAGCAAAAACAACAAGATATATGATAACGCTTACATAGTTACCTTCTCATGTTTCAGATTGGATTCGAAAGTATCTCATATACAGGGCGATTTACGTTGGCTAACCAAAAAAGGTTTTTTTGCATCAACAAATTATTTATGCTTGAATTATTTTTGTTGGACTGAGCAATTCTTTGTTGAATCAAACAGATACATGATTATTTCATGGAAGCAGCTTGTTCAAATCAAGATTGTAGTTTAATTGAATCAACAGTATAATATCAATTCCATTAACAAAATATGTGGTTATCTCAAAAACAAATTATGTCGATCGAAAATAAGGTCGATGTTGATTCAACTATAAACATTTTGTTGATCTGATGGAATACTGATCATTTTGATGAAAATATATCTTTGAAATAACATACAAGTTTTCTTATTCCGATGTAGCAAAGAACTCATTTCGAACGGATCATTTGCTTGAATAGAGCAACGAAATATGCGTAATATCAATGAAATATTTTGTTCATTCAACTACAAGTTAAATTTTCCCCATTAGATGGCGATATTTTCGCCTCGTCTATGCCTGCCTCGAATTCTTTATATACATGAAGTTTGAATCATCGTGTTATTGGTGTTTGGAATATCAGCTAGATAAATCGAAATTAGGATGCTTAGCAAGCCGAAATAGCTTTGCATCCGCTGAAGAGAAGTAGAGACTGAAAATATGTGCTAGAAGTCGACTAGTTTCGTACTTTCGTAGTTTAGTTTATTCATAGATTAACAAACCTTATTGTTAAATCTGTGGTTTATTCTATTGATGTAAAATTGCAGAAAATTCCCGAATCGATCTGAATTTGGTTCAACAAAATAATTTGTCGAATGGAAATACAGTTTCTCTTGAATCAACGAAATATATGATTGGAACAACAAAATATTTCATTGAATCAACCAAATATCTCATTCAATTAACCGAATATTTCATTGAATCAACTAAATATTTGATTGAATCAATATCTTGTTATTTTGAATCAAACAAAATTATTGTTTGATCCAATTCAATATCTCTTCATAAACAATTCATGGATGTGCTTGATTGAAGGAGATCCAGAGTTCATGCAAGACATATTTACTTGATTCAAGCTTCAAATTCGATACGAAACAAGATATAGATTTGCTCATTTCAAGATTATATTTTGTAATTTTGTCGTTCATATATGACACTTATATTTGCTTCATTGTATTATTATTAAAGTTCTATATTATTATTGTTCAATTAAACTTTGGTTGATTGAACAATTCCTTTTTTCCGTGTGCAATTGGCAATTCTTGCATTGATAACTTCTTGTCTTGATACTTTCTGACTATCAGATATATTACCCACCATATCTATGCTCGGTATTTCCATCAGCAACACTCTTTCATGGGATAATCATGTCAGATCCATCGCAAAAGCTGCTTCACAAAAACTCGGATTCTTGTTCCGTGCGAAAAGCTACTTTACACCTCAACAGCTTCTCATGATCTACAAAGCGCAGATAATGCCTGTTCTAGAATACTGTTCCCACATATGGGGTTCAGCACCAAAACATACGCTGATGCTCTTAGATTCCATCCAGAGAAGAGCCATTCGCCTGGTGGGTGACGCCACACTCACTCACTCTTTGACATCATTGGAACACCGTAGAAAGGTCGGCGACCTTTCACTTTTCTATCGATTCTTCCACGGGAAATGTTCTTTGGAAATCCCTGCTATCATCCCTTCACTAGCAATACCAATCAGACGAACTAGACAAGCCCAGTCAGCACATCCTTTCGTTGTCAACCTCGAAAGATGTCGAACAGCCCTTTACCAAGACTCCTTCATCCATAGAACGGCTAGGCTCTGGAATTCATTGCCTGTGGAAGTATTCCCAACAACATATAATCTCCAAAAGTTCCAAAAAAATTCCAATACCTACCTCCTGTCCCTATCCTCCCTAGGAACGCACGATGTTCTTTGAACATTATAGGGATTCCCTTTCGTGCGCTCCAAGCGATGAAAAAAATATTATATTGTTTCTCGAGTTGTCTCCATTGTACCAAGATTTAAATTTTCAAACTTATTTATTTCCATTTTAATCATTCTCATCGCATTCAACACACCGATTCAAACTGTCAAATAGATCGTTAGTGCAACACCAACATTATAATGGGAGACTGGTCGTTCTGAATTTGAAATTTTATGTAAATTCGCTACATAACACTTCATTGTTTCAGGATCACCTTGGAATTTTCGACGTTGGCTATGAATACAATGGTGAGTACCTACCTATATACACCTAGATTTTTTGCTTTCTACAAGTTCATTTCCATTTGAATTGATGATTCTGTTGGATTTGCTGAATTAATGACAAATATGATTGAGCAAATCATGGCAAATTGGTATGCAAAACATTGTTACAGATAAAAAATATCAATCTAATACATTACCACTGTCACAAAATAGTAATTTTCCTAGCAAGTGCGGAAAGCGATATTTTCGCGCACGCGAATGCCGTTGACCCGAACGACGCGAAGCGGAGTTCGGGCAAGCAGTCGAGTGCGGGAAAGACACTTTTCGCATGAGTTAGTAACAATATTTTTTCTACAAGCGTAGAAAATTGAATAGGAACAACTAACAATAGTGATATATTCTCTATCTTCTAATAATTAGTGATATACAGGGTTATGATAAAGTAATGCACAAAATTCATAAAACGTACAACGATCACTTTTGAAAAAAATGCAAAAACACGTCAAACTGTTTTTTTTATTCCGCATCTTTTGACGTAAGTTACAAAAATAACACGTCAGAGTTGTCAAAGTTATGACGTCATCAACAAATTTTTTCAATGGGGAGCTTAGATTTTTATCACATTATGTGATAGAGCTTGTGTTTTTACACAAGGGGAATAGTTGCAGCAGGGCTCACATAATGTAATAAAAATCTTAGCTTCCCATTAAAAAAATTTGTTGATGACGTCATAACTTTGACAACTTTGACGTGTTATTTTTGTAACTTATGTCAAAAGATGCGGAATAAAAAGAACAGTTTGACGTGTTTTTGCATTTTTTTCAAAAGTGATCGTTGTACGTTTCATGAATTTTGTGCATTACTTTATCATAACCCTGTATATCTATTGTGTGTGTACTGTTTGAAGCATTATTTATTGCGGAAGCCAGCATGCCCATGGTGTTTGGCCTCTAGGTTTCAGACATTTCTAGGAAATGAGCCAAAGATACTTCTTCTTTATTTGGTGTTTTCACTTTTTTACTATTACACCATTCAATGAATCCCGTGTAGTGCTTCTCATTTACCATTCTTAAGACTTCGTTGGCAATAACTCATCTGTATCGCATCTGTAATTTTTCATCGCAATTCCACTGAATCGAGAATGACAGTAACGCTCTGTCTGTCACTCTGAGAATTACACTAACTAATTTGTGTTTTGATTGACATGACAACAATTGTTTCCCACATCAGATCAATTGAAGGCTATAAGGGGATTTATATAAACTGGACGTCAATTGAAACGTTAATAGTGAAATTTGGCATCAAGTTTGACTTCTCGTAATTTCTAAAATATTGAACGAATTTTGAATTGCCTCCCAGATTCTGAATGCCTTTTTCATCGTCTTTCGAACCGTTCCTTACAACATCTTCTTAATTGATCAGGACCCGTGATACAGGGTGAAACAAAGTTTCGTGCATTTTGAAAAGAATTTCTCCACTCCCCCATTTTGTCGGAAGACCATGATGCTCATATTTTATTCAGGCATTTCATAAATAGCAACCATACCTCGGGACGTTTTCGAGTTTTTGCCAAAAACTACTGTGGTTTCCGAAATTATTATTATGTGCAAGGAGAATGCAATTTCTCTACATCAGAAGATGTCTTATCAGGGCCTACTCTAGATAGAGTAGGCCCTGGTCTTATCGTGTGTGTTCAATAGATATAATTCAATGTTCGTCGTGGCATATAGCCGGGAAAGTAGTTGTTGTCTGTTGAATAAACCGAGAAAGAATTAATATTTTCAACACATGGAGAATGCGAATTCTCAATGTATTTCTTTATATATATACAGTGTGACCCACTTCTAATGGAACCACCCCTGTATCTTACGTAATCGTTGGGTAAGGATCCTGAAATTTGCTGGAGCGAGAGATATACCAAAAATGCACTCTATGACCAAGTGGGGTCATCTTCAGTGATATACACTGCTCGCCAACAGCCATGAAACTATATACCCCAATTTCCGGAAAATTATATTAGGAGTCAGAATAGGTCGAATATCACTTCACATTTGGAATCAGGACGCCCAATTTACTAACTATTAAATTTTTTTATAAATTTATATTATAGGTACTCTTGTCTGATGATGGCCGTGGTGCCGAAACCGGTTACATTTAATTGAAGTGTTTTCATTTAATCTGAGATTAATTAAATAACTATATCTATCTGTTCTGTACACGCACTGTCTTCTAAAATATAAAATATAATGATTTCTGGTATCTTTGTTATTGTGGTAAAACCACTTCCTTTGAACAAAACCGCGAAATATTACGAAATCGCATTGAACTATCAGGTACTATATTTCGCTAATATTGCGAATTACTCACTACCTCATACAGAGTGTTTTTATATTGCTTACTAATATGATCGCCGAGAACTTTTATTCCATGCCCAAAATTTTTTACACTATAATAATTGATATGCATTGCATTTTTTGAAAGAATTTACTACCCAGATTCTATATTATCACCAACAAGAAAACATAAATCACAGATTTCTTTGCCAATAATAAATATCATAATTTGGCAACATTCCAGAGTTTATGTAGAGGAAATCCTGATTTTCTGTGGGTCAAACCCAAGAAAATATCAAAGCAGCCAAAAATTAGGAAATAGACAAACAAATTAATACAAATCTGGTCACACTGGCCTATACTGAAAAATGTTGCCTAGATATTGGGGTTATCGAAATATTGAAGAAAATAATAAATTTCAATACTATACAGGGTGTTACAAATTCATGGCTAAGCATGGGGATCTCGGTAACCTTAAGAGATGCTCAACAAAGTGCTGCTTTGAAAGTGGAAAAATTTCAATTATTTCCGGAGATATCCGGAAAAAGAAAAGAAAATATGAAAATGGGTTTTTATTTATTACTCAGTTCATTTCAAGAGATATTCCAAAATGAATGTCACTTCATCATTGCCAATTTTCCTCCTCTACAAAATGGAATTGTCAAATTGGAAATCCGACGTTTCTTCTTCGAGTGCCCATCATCAGCTTAATTTTTTTGGATAAGGACTGTTTACTTCAATGAAAAATTTTTTTATAAAAGCTATGGAGATACTCATCTTTGTATAACACATCGTTTCTGGTGTTAATTTGTCTTTGTCAACTCTTCTCAAAGAACTTTCAACAGATCGACTTTTTGTAAATGTAAATAGAATCTTATCATTTAGTTTTTATTGTTGTAAGTGTAGGTATATTAGGTTTATTCTACTGAATTCTTTATTGGAACGAATGAAATATACAATGTGATAGGTGATTAAATAATTTATAATGGATGAGTCCCAATGTCACAATGTTTTACAAACTGCATAGGTACATTATCAGATTTTTGTTTTTCTCTTTGTTATTGGCATTACTGGTGATGGACGTGTCTCGAGTGTGATTGATCATTATTTGATTAGGTCCATTGGACAATCGAGAAGTTGGAATTTAGGAAGGAAATTAACATAATTTTAGTTGGCTGATGCATAATAACAATATATCCTCGATATCATCTGACTAAATCACATTGATATTCAAACTTTAGGAAATTGTCTTTATTGCTTTCGTATGTTGATGTAATCTGGTCCAATCATTTTTTCTGAACTGATTAAAATTCTGTTTTTTTATGTTTATTTATAGTCACTAGCTGTGGACAACTGCTAACGGCTCCTTATAATTAAAGATCTTCATGGAAGGTTCAGATGCTATAGAAAATCTGATCATGTGAACCTCACACGAGTTCTCAAGCTTATTGTAACTTCAAAATTAATTTAATTTAATACGCAATGTTCATTTTTATTTTCATATAATTGTTTTATTGTTCCAATTCCACCGTTATGGTAGTCGTGATTTTTATATCATAAAATTACGAAACCAAGAATATTGCTTTTTTATTGCTTCATAATAATTATTGTTAGTTGGATTAAATCAGAAATCACCATCTCTTCTTGAGAATATAATGTTTGTTCTTCTATTAATTACAAAATATTTATCTGATCCTGAAAGTTTCAGTACAAAAAATGTCCAAGGCATAGGTGCCTGATTTTTCAAAACAAAGATTATTTCAGAAATATATATAATAGAATCTGTTCACCATTTCGAAAATACACTGTATATCAATATCGATATCAATAAAACATACACAGAAAAAAAATTTTTTTTTGAAACTACAAAATTTTTGTAAATTTAACAAAATCTGAATTTCATCATTTATATCCACGACCAAATATTTTGTCACCGCAACAATTTTTTTTGTCAGTTTTCAACTTCAAATTCATTTGATTTAACTCATTAATGATTCAAGCAGGAATTGATTGAATGAAAAGACTATTTCGTTCCTATAATACAACATCTGTTCAATGAACAGATTCTGTTGATTGAAATGATCATATAATTTCATTCAAGTGACAAGATTTTCAGTTTCTCAGAGAGTGAATATGTTGAATTAACAATATATATTCTGAATATAACAAAATTGTTTTTTCATTCAATGAAACAATTCAATCGATCAATTAGGAAGTTGGGAAGAAACGCCACCAGATGGCGAAAATGCAACTAGATTTAACATGGCAACGCCGCAACCGATTCCAATTTTTGTTACAGCGATGTGAAGGTAAACCTCGGCGGAATAAATTCCGACAAAACAATATTCTATTTGAAGAAACTTTGGTAACTGAAAAGTTTTTCCTTCAAAGTTCGTCTCTATAGGTCATGCCTTTCGAGATATCGAAGATATACGCACTAAATGGACACACTGTATATAAAAGATCTTGAAAATATTCCACAGTTACTTGAAAACAAGAATATCTGGGCAACACATATTTAAACCACAATAATCTGAGAATGAAAACATTCGTATTATGTCAACTTGCATGTTTTCGAATCTTTGTAGGTAGTTTCTTAAATTGGTCATGTTTTCCTTTTCAATTATAGGTGTATAAGTGTAAGCCAAAGCAGACACAATTATTAAAAAATGGGTGACGATATATTATGGG